AAAGGGTTTGAGAAATGGGAAAAAACCCCCCCCCCCCCAAAAATAAAAAAGGATCACGCCCCCCCCCAAAAGAAATTTTTAAAAAAAGCCTTTGGATGGGCCCCAATTAAAAAATAAAGGGAAATATGGGGGAAATTTGGGTTAAAAAATTTTAAAAAAAACAGAGTAGGGGAGTTAAAAATTTTTGAAAAAAGGAAAAAGGAGGGTTAAAAAAAAGGAAAAAGGGGGAAAAAATTAGCTTAAAAAATGGGGAGAATAAAAAAAATTTTGAGGGAAAATTTTTAAAAATGTTGAGGAAGGGAAAAGGGGAAACGGGGAATTTCATGCCTGGCCCGGGAGGTATACCCTCTTTTAGGAGTGAAAAAAGAGCAGAACGTTTTGGTGGTGGAGGTTTCGTGAGGCATTACGTAGAATAAAGGGAAAATTAAAAAAGCTGGAATGATGGGATCATGACAGAAAAGTTAAAGCAGGGGAGGATATGTGTTGGGTGGTTGGTACTTTTGTTTAATAAATGTATGAAAGAGGGGAAGGTACCTAGGGATTGGCAGAGAGCATGTATAGCCCCTTTATATAAAGGGATAAGGGGACAAAAGAGATTGTAAAAATTATTATTTTTTTTTTTATTATCACACTGGCCGATTCCCACCAAGGCAGGGTGGCCCGAAAAAGAAAAACTTTCACCATCATTCATCCATCACTGTCTTGCCAGAAGGGTGCTTTACACTACAGTTTTTAAACTGCAACATTAACACCCCTCCTTCAGAGTGCAGGCACTGTACTTCCCATCTCCAGGACTCAAGTCTGGCCTGCCGGTTTCCCTGAACCCCTTCATAAAATGTTACTTTGCTCACACTCCAACAGCACGTCAAGTATTAAAAACCATTCGTCTCCATTCACTCTATCAAACACGCTCACGCACGCCTGCTGGAAGTCCAAAGCCCCTCGCACACAAAACCTCCTTTACCCCCTCCTCCAACCTTTCCTAGGCCGACCCCATACCCCGCCTTCCTTCCACTACAGACTGATACACTCTTGAAGTCATTCTGTTTCACTCCAGTCTCTCTACATGTCCGAACCACCTCAACAACCCTTCCTCAGCCCTCTGGACAACAGTTTTGGTTAATCCCGCACCTCCTCTAACTTCCAAACTACGAATTCTCCGCATTATATTCACACCACACATTGCCCATCAGACATGACATCTCCACTGCCTCCAGCCTTCTCCTCGCTGCAACATTCATCACCCATGCTTCACAACCCATATAAGAGTGTTGGTAAAACTATACTCTCATACATTCCCCTCTTTGCCTCCAAGGACAAAGTTCTTTGTCTCCACAGACTCCTAAGTGCACCACTCACCCTTTTCCCTCATCAATTCTATGATTCACCTCATCCTTCATAGACCCATCCGCTGACACGTCCACTCCCAAATATCTGAATACATTCACCTCCTCCATACTCTCTCCCTCCAATCTGATATCCAATCTTTCATCACCTAATATTTTTGTTATCCTCATAACCTTACTCTTTCCTGTATTCACTTTTAATTTTCTTCTTTTGCACACCCTACCAAATTCATCCACCAATCTCTGCAACTTCACTTCAGAATCTCCCAAGAGCACAGTGTCATCAGCAAAGAGCAACTGTGACAACTCCCACTTTATGTGTGATTCCTTATCTTTTAACTCCACGCTCTTGTCAAGACCCTCGCATTTACTTCTCTTACAACCCCATCTATAAATATATTAAACAACCACGGTGACATCACACATCCCTGTCTAAGGCCTACTTTTACTGGGAAATAATTTCCCTCTTTCCTATGTACTCTAACTTGAGCCTCACTATCCTCGTAAAAACTCTTTCACTGCTTTCAGTAACCTACCTCCTACACCATACACCTGCAAATCTGCCACATTCCCCCCCTACCACCCTGTAAATATCCCTTTTTCCCAAATCCATAAAAGCCACAAAAACCCCTTTTGCCCCTTTTTAAATACTGTTCACTTTATGTTTCACTGAAACACCCGGTCCAAAAACCCCCTACCTTTCCTAAAGCCTCCTTTTCATTTCTATCCTATTTCAGTCTTACTTTTAAAATTTTTTAATAATAACCCACCATAACTTTACCAGGTATACTCAACAGACTTTCCCCCTATAATTTTTTCACTCTTTTTGCCCTTTCCTTTATACAAAGGAAATATGCATGCTCTCTGCCAATCCCTAGGGACTTACCCTCTTCCATACATTTATTAAATAATTGCACCAACCCCTCCAAAAAATATATCCCCACCTGCTTTTTAAAAATTTCTATCTTTATCCCATCAAAACCGGTACCTTTCCCCCCTTTTTTTTCCACTGCCTACGAACTTCCCCCCCACCACAACTGGCTCTTCCTCACTCCTCAAGAGTTATCCCCCTTGCCCTATACACAAAATACGCTTCCCCATCTTTTCAAATTTAACAATTCCTCAAAATATTCCTCCCTCTTCCCAAAAACCTCTAACTCTCCATTTAATAACTCTCCTCTCCTATTTTTAACTGACAAATCCATTTGTTCTCTAGGCTTCCTTAACTTGTTAATCTCACTCCAAAACTTTTTCTTATTTTCAACAAAATTTGTTGATAACATCTCACCCACTCTCTCATTTGCTCTCTTTTTACATTGCTTCACCACTCTCTTAACCTCTCTCTTTTTCTCCATATACTCTTCCCTCCTTGCATCACTTCTACTTTGTAAAAACTTCTCATATGCTAACTTTTTCTCCCTTACTACTCTCTTTACATCATCATTCCACCAATCGCTCCTCTTCCCTCCCGCACCCACTTTCCTGTAACCACAAACTTCTGCTGAACACTCTAACACTACATTTTTTAAACCTACCCCATACCTCTTCGATCCCATTGCCTATGCTCTCATTAGCCCATCTATCCTCCAATAGCTGTTTATATCTTTCCCTAACTGCCTCCTCTTTTAGTTTATAAACCTTCACCTCTCTCTTCCCTGATGCATCTATTCTCCTTGTATCCCATCTACCTTTTACTCTCAGTGTAGCTACAACTAGAAAGTGATCTGATATATCTGTGGCCCCTCTATAAACATGTACATCCTGAAGTCTACTCAACAGTCTTTTATCTACCAATACATAATCCAACAAACTGCTGTCATTTTGCCCTACATCATATCTTGTATACTTAAAAATTATACAGGAATAAGTTTACTGAGTATACCAGGAAAAATATATGGTAGGGTTATAATTGAAAGAATTAGAGGTAAGACAGAATGTAGGATTGCGGATGAGCAGGGAGGCTTCAGAGTGGGTAGGGGATGTGTAGATCAAGTGTTTACATTGAAGCATATATGTGAACAGTATTTAGATAAAGGTAGGGAAGTTTTTATTGCATTTATGGATTTAGAAAAGGCATATGATAGAGTGGATAGAGGAGCAATGTGGCAGATGTTGCAAGTAGTATATGGAATAGGTGGTAAGTTACTAAATGCTGTTAAGAGATTTTATGAGGATAGTGAGGCTAGGTTAGGGTGTGTAGAAGAGAGGGAGAATACTTCCCAGTAAAAGTAGGTCTTAGACAGGGATGTGTAATGTCACCATGGTTGTTTAATATGTTTATAGATGGGGTTGTAAAAGAAGTAAATGCTAGGGTGTTCGGGAGAGGGGTGGGATTAAATTATGGGGAATCAAATTCAAAATGGGAATTGACACAGTTACTTTTTGCTGATGATACTGTGCTTATGGGAGATTCTAAAGAAAAATTGCAAAGGCTAGTGGATGAGTTTGGGAATGTGTGTAAAGGTAGAAAGTTGAAAGTAAACATAGAAAAGAGTAAGTTGATGAGGGTATCAAATGATTTAGATAAAGAAAAATTGGATATCAAATTGGGGAGGAGGAGTATGGAAGAAGTGAATATTTTCAGATGCTTGGGAGTTGACGTGTCGGCGGATGGATTTATGAAGGATGAGGTTAATCATAGAATTGATGAGGGAAAAAAGGTGAGTGGTGCATTGAGGTATATGTAGAGTCAAAAAATGTTATCTATGGAGGCAAAGAAGGGAATGTATGAAAGTATAGTAGTACCAACACTCTTATATGGATGTGAAGCTTGGGTGGTAAATGCAACAGCGAGGAGACGGTTGGAGGCAGTGATGTCCTGTCTAAGGGCAATGTGTGGTGTAAATATTATGCAGAAAATTCGGAGTGTGGAAATTAGGAGAAGGTGTGGAGTTAATAAAAGCATTAGTCAGAGGGCAGAAGAGGGGTTGTTGAGATGGTTTGGTCATTTAGAGAGAATGGATCAAAGTAGAATGACATGGAAAGCATATAAATCTATAGGGGAAGGAAGGAGGGGTAGGGGTCGTCCTCGAAAGGGTTGGAGAGAGGGGGTAAAGGAGGTTTTGTGGGCGAGGGGCTTGGACTTCCAGCAAGCGTGCGTGAGCGTGTTAGATAGGAGTGAATGGAGACGAATGATACTTGGGACCTGACGATCTGTTGGAGTGTGAGCAGGGTAATATTTAGGGAAGGGATTCAGGGAAACCGGTTATTTTCATATAGTCGGACTTGAGTCCTGGAAATGTGAAGTACAATGCCTGCACTTTAAAGGAGGGGTTTGGGATATTGGCAGTTTGGAGGGATATGTATCTTTATACGTATATGCTTCTAAACTGTTGTATTCTGAGCACCTCTGCAAAAACAGTGATAATGTGCGAGTGTGCTGAAAGTGTTGAATGATGAAAGTATTTTCTTTTTGGGGATTTTCTTTCTTTTTTTGGGTCACCCTGCCTCGGTGGGAGACGGCCGACTTGTTGAGAAAAAAAAAAATCACGTAATGTTAACGCAAAATCTAAAATATGCACATTTACAGGAATTCATTCACTCAACAATTGGCTGAAGAGGTAAACATGAACTGTTATGCACTTGTAAAATCTAGCTAATAAGAACAAATATTTTTATCAAACTGCTTGCACAATAAAATGCTTCAGTACGAACCTTTCTCGTGTAGTAAAATTACTCTTGAAACCCGGAATATTTCAGTTAACCCAGATTCTGTCGCATTTGTACTTGTCTGCATCAACTGTAAAATTAATCAATACTGTATTAAAAAACCTTGAAAGCCTTTAATTATTTCTTAATATATGAAACCTGATGACAAACATATGTAAATGCCAATTTGATTAATAACATTTGAATACTGTATCATTAGAGAACTAACAAAACCTTGAGAATCTCCAAGATATTTTACATCATTGTGTCTTACTTTCATGGAGTGTGGAGGCACTTGTTTTAGAACCTGTAAAAGTACTGAGAGCAGAGAATTTAAAGGGGCACATTGCTGACACTACCTACCACACTCGATATTGCCACAGAAAATCAGTTCAGTTTTCTATGACAAAACTAACAAATTGTGAGTAGCAATTATGAACAGTATGAAATTAGGGAAGAACCCATCCCAGGAATGGTTGGAGGGAGGGGATAAAGGAGCTTCAATTTCAGGGGTTTGAGCATCTAGCAGGCTTATGTAAGCATATTAATTAGTAGTGAATAGAAACAAGGTTTTTTTTAATGAACACGCTGTTGGAGTCTGAGCAAGGCAACATTTACGAAGGGATTCAAGAAAACCGGTTAGCCAAACCTGAGTCCTGGAGGTGGCATGGGCAGTGCCTGAACTCTGAAGGAGGGAGGGTGGGGATTTTACAGTCAAAGGGTGATTTGAATTGTGAAGTCAGCACGATTCTGGTAAGACAGCAATTGAACAAATGATTGTGAATGTTTCCTTCTTTGGGTCACCTAGCCTTGGTGGAAGATGGCCACTGAGGTAAGAGGAAAACATTTGCAAATATTTTTATAAGAAATATTTCCATAATGCTGTTGTTGTAGCTCCTAGGCTAATTATGTTTATGACAGTAACTTTTTTCTTACCTCAATGGCCATCTCCCAGGCAGAGTAACCCTAAAAAAATGGACACATTCAACATTATTCATTCAGTCGCTATCTTGCATGAAGTGTGCTGACACAATTCAGTTCACAGTCTGATTGCAACATTCCCACTCCTCCTTCAGACAGGTGCAGAGCATCTTCGTAATATGGAGGAGCTGAAAGTATGATTGCCAACACCTATTTTTAAGTGGAGGCACCATGGCTTTTTGAGCCAAAGCAAGGGGTTGGAACCAGTATATTTCCCAGCCATAAGTTGACCTTCATACACAAAAAAAAATATATCTCGAGTCATATCCCCACATTTTATGGGCATAATATAAACAATTTTTATTAAAACTTAAGAAAAAACTGGAATTACTACTGTATGGCAGCTTCTTCTTGTTGGGTTGTAATGACCAAAGGGCCATACCAGTGTAACTGCACAGGTCATGGTGATGACCCTGACATGTCATTAATCCTGAGGAAGCCACATGTGTGGGACAGTATGTTATGGCAGTCCAGTGGATCAAAGCTCTTACTGTCCAGGAGAGTGAGCAACAGATGTTACAAATCATATTGAACCTATGTAGGAGGTTTAAGGCTAAATGAATCTGGGTGCATGAGCAGGAAGTGCTCCACCTTGTCTTGTTAGGAAGAACATCACAAAATAGAAGGGCTGTCAAGCAGCCATAGATGCACTGCCAGCAGAAAATAACTAGCAATTTACTTAATTGGCCTGTGATTAAAATCTTGTTTTTATATACTGTGCTGTATTCTATCTTGCTGGTTAAGAGTTGTAACATCCCAAATAAATATGTGAATTTCAATTTTGTACTTTTGCACCAAGAGTATTATGTACAATAGGCATCACATACATGCACACACAAACTCATCACACAGATATTGAGAATACTCACTGTACATTGTTTTAAACAAAATACTGATATATGTATGGTTTGCTCACTTAACCTAGTGTTTCATTGGATTTCTCTTCCTCTTAATGCACTCCTTACACGTACTCCTAGGTACTAATAAGGCTGAAGTATGGAGGATAGAAAAGTTAATACCCTCCCACACCTGCTTAACCCTTTGACTGTCGAAAGGCCCAATCCTGAAGTGTCTCCTGGTGTTGCAAAATATTCGAAAAAAAAAAAATTATTTTTTCTTATAAAAATGTTAAGATCATTTTTCTGATTGTTTTAGTCCAAAAAAAAAATTTTCCCATCAGTACTTACCGAGATATAGAGGCATGAAGTTTGCAGAAAATGAGCGGTGTATGGCAACAGCGGCGACTGCCGCTCACCCAGTAAACTTTGGTTTACTTTTATTCGACGGTTTCTTGTTTTTTTTCACTATTTTATTTTTTCACGTAACTTTTGTGGCCTGTGAGATCAAAGTATGGTGCAATGTTCATATATATACTCGTTGAATGTAACACAATTATAGCAAAAACAGTAGTATCATCATAATGTTCCTAAAACTTGTTTACACAAACCATATAAAAAAATTTTTATTACGATTGTTCTATAATATATATACATATGTACAATCACTGGACACTTTTCTAGAACTGCTGCAGCTTGTGGAATTCTTTGAAACATGGGTATAAGCACAGTGGTGTTTTACACTCCTCACACATAAAACGAGTGTCTCTGCATTTTTGTGGGAGTTTTGTGGTATGTCCACAGACAAAACACCTCTTGTGAGCATTTTTCTTGAGAGCAGTAGCAGGCAGTGGTATGGGGTAGTGATCACCAGGCCTCAACGAGAGGACATGTGTTGATAATTTCATGGGCGCTGGTCTACTGCAAGTGTTGTTCCTTGGTACTTGAATATTATTTGTCTGATGACTGACAAACAAAATTCACCATATTTGGGTTCGTTGTTGGTCTTCAACTTATACATATTATAAGCATTCAGCATGGAAATGTCAAGAAGATGGAAAAAGAGTTTTATGTACCACTTATAACTCTTGCGAACACAGTCAGCAAACCCAATCTACATGTCACATTTGTCCACTAAGTGCATATTGAGGTTGTAATCCATCACAGCTGCAGGTTTTACAATGGGTTCATTGGTCTCTCTATTCTGCTTGCCACTGTCTACCATTTCGTGTTGGTGAACTGATGTCAACAGTGTGATATCACATTTGTCATGCCACCAAAATGCCATGATGTCATTGGCAGCAAACACCTGCACCTCACCTCTACGACTGCCAGCGTCGAACCTAGGCACATGCTTACGATTTCCACGCACTGTGCCACACACATCTGTCATGTTCACTCGCAAGAAATCACTGAGTAAAGGGCTTGTATACCAATTGTCAGTACAGTGGACCCCCGCATAATGATCACCTCCGAATGCGACCAATTATGTAAGTGTATTTATGTAAGTGCGTTTGTACGTGTATGTTTGGGGGTCTGAAATGGACTAATCTACTTCACAATATTCCTTATGGGAACAAATTCGGTCAGTACTGGCACCTGAACATACTTCTGGAGTGAAAAAATATCGTTAACCGGGGGTCCACTGTATATAAAATATGCCCCTTACCAAGATATGGTTTTATCATTGTTCTAACCACATCACCAGAGATACCCAGTAACTTCCTGGTATCTTGCAATGTTTTACCACCAGTGTACACAATTATATCCAAAACCAGACAAGTTTTGCAATCACACAGAACAAATAACTTTATTCCAAAGCTTTTCCTCTTGCTTGGTATACACTGCTTGAATGAGAGTCTACCTTTGAACAAAATCAAAGACTCATCAATAATAAGCTTCCTGAAGGGATAAAAATACATACAGCACTTTTGTTTCAGGTACACAAACACATTTCTGATCTTATATAACCTGTCGTTTCTGTCAGGCATTGTTTTGTCTGAAAAGTGTAACATACGTAACAGTAACAGAAATCTATTCACTGGTATAATGTCACTGAAAGCTGGGGTTGAAATCAGGTGGTCTGTCAACCAGTATGTGTTGACACTGTGCTTATACACATGTGGCATAAGGATTATTGTGGCAAAGAACAGATACATCTCTGCCACAGTTGTGTCTTTCCAATGGTGTAGGAGTGATCTTGGTGAAAGAATTGTGTTTGCCATGGTGTACTCAAAGTATGTATTGCTTTCCCTGACAATAATGTCCATCAGGGGTTTATCGAAGAACAACTGAAAGCATTCCAGTTCAGCATTGTTCCCAAGTGTACATGATGGCCGTATTCCACTTTGTGTTTCATCAAAGTCATGGGGACTGGGAACAAACTCGTCACCTTGCTGCCAATCCCAGATGCGGTCAGCTGGTGGGTTCTGGATATTGAAACGTGGTTGTGGTTGTGCAGGTTGTGATTGTGGTTGTTGTGGGAGTGTGGGGTTGGATGAGGCTGGTTGTAGTTGTGCAGAGTCAGCAGCGTCGGTAGTAGCGTGGCCCACTGCTGGTGCCACATGACTCATGCTACCATCACTATCACCACCACCGCCTGCTGCCTCACTCGCATCATTCATACCCATCGTAACAATATCGTCATCTTCACTATCAGGTCGCGGTGTAGGGCCACGGAATGTGCTCCGAGATTTACTCCTTCCCCTTGGAACAGCATATGGCACACTACCAGATCGCAAGCAACGTCATATATACTGCCGCTTCACTGGGGAATATTCACCCTCACTGCCGCAACTAGAACTGCTTTCAATAGCTTTGAAATCACTATCACTATCACTTTCACTGCTCACATCTGAGTCTCGTACACGGGCAAATAGTTTCCTCTTTCGTCCTGGTACAGATGAACATGAACTAGCCGGCCTAGCACCAGAGGTGGAAGGTTGTGGGTCATCTGGGTTTTCATCACTAATTACGTTATCCTGGGCACTGTTTTCGGTCACACCCGCTTGAAAACCAAGGAATTCACTTTCACTAACACTTTCATCGCTGTTAGAGCTATCACTTGGGAACAAAAGACCTCCAATCTGCCGAGGAGTGAGGAACTTCTTACCGTGAGGCATGGTGAAAATGAACTACCAAGATGGCATTCCCACAATGCACTGCTGAGTCCCAGATTTTTTTCACAGGGTGCACACCCACCACTCAGACCCATTCTCTCTCATGTAGGCCTACCAGCCTTCTCCCGCTTGATCTGAAGCCGCTAGAATTTATGCGTATAGATACGTCAAACACGGTATCTCGTATGACGTATATATATGACCGAAACAGTCAAGGGGTTAATAGCATTTGAGAGTTTGGGGATAGTGAACTTGTCTGTGCCATGAGGCTTATGCTTAATAATGTTTATGGCTTCGCCAGTTTGGCAAGGGGCACTATCTTGCATACAAGAGGTGCTCTGGCACTTCTCGAAACTTTCACCAATAGTCTGCTAGTGGCATACTTACGTGTGTGCATATTTATGACACCTAGCGTACACATTCAAGAATTTCATCCTCTAATGACAGCACTGAACAATTCAAACTGTTTAGCACATTTCAAGAACATCAGTGTGGTTTCCTATAGTTGCCATTTCATCATAATTCTTAAGAGAATAAATAAAGAATATGATAATGCCTTCAAATATGTACAGGAGGGGCCCCACTTATACAGCAAGTTCCAGGCTACTGCTGTAAAGCAAAAATTGCTGTCAAATGAAACACAGCTTTTTTATCACTATCAAATGCATATAAAAGCCTGATAAAATGTTTACATTATCATATATTAAGTGAACAATAGAGCTAGGCCTAAAAAATTTATTTACAGAACACACATTACTTACCATACCACGGGCGGGATTGAACCTGCGGTCAGAGAGTCTCAAAACTCCAGACCGTCGTGTTAGCCACTGGACCAGCTAGCCACAATACTTACCTTAAATTTTTTTGTCATTAGCTTATACTGAGTGGTGAATATATTTATTGTAGGAAGTCTATAAATGAAAGACACTGCATTAACAAAATGCTATGAAGCAAAGCACTGTAAAGCAAGGCCCTCCTGTATTATGAACTATGCTGAAAATAATGAAACAGCACATTGGGAATTTTTTGTATAATCTGTGCACTTTTGTAAGGTTAGTAAAATTATTTAATATACTGTACTGTAATTTAAATGTTAAACTAAAAATTTACTGTATGCAATAGTTTGATTTAATGGATAAAGTCCCATAAGAGTATCATACCTTGAGAGCTTTAAGTGTACTACCACCAGCAGTAATCTGAACATCCAGCCGGAGAGGATCAAGAGCTGATAAATGTTGATTCAATTCATTTCGAACTGTGAAACATTGTTCAATGTTACTGGCCAGCTCTGGCTGACTCCAAGATGAAGGAGCACCATTAGTCTCCTGCTGGAATACACGCCAACCTGGGAAAAAAAAAAGTTCTGAACTTTGTAATTTTTTTCTGAATTTTGTGTGATTCATTCATGCAATGTCTAGGTCCCTTACTTAATAGTTTACATGGTAATAATTATAATAACTGCCCATGTGCAACACCTGGGTATCTTTATTAGGAATAAAGATACTTTCAGTAAGGATGCCCAGGTATTGCACATGACTTATTCATCAACTTGTCCGTATTATATATTTTTTTTTATTATTAATACATCGGCCATTTCCCCACCAAGGCAGGGTGACCTGAAAAACAAGAAACTTTCATCATCATTCATCACCGTCTTGCCAGAGACACACCTACACTATAGTTCAAAAACTGCAACATATCTTCATCCCTCCTTCAGAGTGCAGGCACTGTATTTCCCACCTCCAGGACTCAAGTCTGGCCAACCAGTTTCCCTGAATCCTTTCATAAATGTTATCTTGCTAACATTCCAATAGCAGGTCAAGTCCTAAAAACCATCTGCCTGCACTCGCTGCTATCTAACATGCTCATGCATGTTAAATAGCTAGATGTCTAAGCCCCTAGCACACAAAACCTCCTTTACCCCCCTCCCTCCAACATTTCCTAAAACAACCCCTACCTCAACTTCCTTCCATTACAGATTTATATGCCCTCCAAGTCATTCTATTTAGTTCCACCCTCTCTAAATGTCTGAACCACCTCAACAACCCCTCCTCAGCCCTCTGGATAATACTTTTAGAAACCTCCTTTTAATCTCCAAGCCATGGATTCTCTGCATAATATTCACACTGCACATTGCCTTCAGATATCCAATGCCTCCAGCCTTCTCCTTGTGCAACATTCACCACCCATGCTTCACACCCATATAAGAGTATTGGTGCCAATATACTCTATTACATTTCCCTCTTTGCTTCTATGGATAATGTTCTTTGTCTCCACAAACTCCTCAGTGCACCACTTGCCTTTTTTCCCTCATCAATTCTAAGACTGATTCACCTCATCTTTCACAGACTCATCTGCTGATAAGTCCATTCCCAGATATCCACATACATTCACTTCCTCCATACTCCCTCCCTCCAATCTGATATCCAATCTTTCATTATATATTATATAACTGATCATATAATAAGAGCATGTTCTAATTACAGTAGCAATAAATAACCCATTTTGTGAGCTGCAACTATTAACTTTTATGAACACACAGTTATATTAAACTGGAATTTAAAGAGAAACAGGTATGGAAAATAAAAGTCACAATACTGTGGCTCAGTAAATAAAGATACACCATTTTTGTCACCTTTGTTACTGTGGTGGTGCAGAGCAACTTCCTCAGTCAAGTGTGGTAAAACAGGAGCAAGTGACAGTAACAGATGATGTAGCAAATAATGGAGTACCAACAATGCAGACATACGTTTGTTTCCTAACCTCGGTTCACAATAAAGTCTGAAAAAAGAATGGCCATACAAAAATTTATGTAATTTTGATGTTTTTGTAAAATTGCTTCATCTATGTAACATGGCCATTTAATAAGATAGAAAGGAAAGACAACTTTTTACTAAAATGCAAGTAATAAAAACAAGAAAATACTGTATGTAAGAAATGAGGTGATACAAGTAAGGCTTTATAGAATATGAGCGTTACATTTTTATGTGATATGGACATTGTGAAAAATATCTACAAGTACAGTGGAAACCCAGAATTCGTCTGGTGCAGATACCTCCACTCGGAAATCGTCCGTATCAGACGCGTTCGCCCGCCCAGGACGTGGTCGCTCACATGTATGTGACTCGGTCTGCCTCTGTCACTTGTTCAGTGGGCAATACTCTGCGCATTCATCCGAAACATTTCATAATACAGTAATCCATTGTTTTTTTGTGCTTGTTTATTGAGTGCAACTGTGAAATAAGCCACCATGGAGCCAAAGAAAGTTCCTAGTGCCAGCCCTTTGGTTAAGAAGGTGAGAAAAACGACAGAATTCAAGAAAGAGCTTACAGCAAAATACGAAAGTGGCGTACGTGTGGTCGAGCTCGCCAGGATGTATGGATGCATTCCAAACAACAACCTCTCCTCCCTCTCTCCTCCTTGCCTTCTTCCATACGCCCACAAGAGTCTTCAATAAAGGTATGTAATAGTGATTTAAATGTTCATTTATCCATTAAAATTAGTCATTTATATTTATTTCTCATTGTTTTCTGTATGTAAAACTATAGCTATTCTTTATAAAATGTATTTTTTGTTAATATTTTTGGGTGTCTGGAACGGATTAATTGGATTTACATTATTTCTTATGGGAAATAGTACTTCGGTTTCATCCATTTCGGATTTTGACCGACCTTCTGGAACGGATTAAGAATGAAAATTGGGGTTCCACTGTACATGTACTATAGTAAAATATCAAAATAAGACTGAAAGAGATAGTAGAAAAGATTGTTAATAATGTTATAGTAGTATTAACATGTAGTATAATTATAGCAGTCCTGTACAGTATTTGTACTATTTAGACGAAATTTAAACTTTTAGACTGTACAGTATAACAAATTATCAGTGTTTGTTAAGTCAGGACTTTGTTTGTGCTTCTAAGTCTCAGTTGAAAGCATAATGCTTTTCCATACATATAAATACTTATATGACTACAAATACAGGTTGGTCATCCTCACCCCCCCCCCCCTCTATCTCATTTTTTTTTTAACACACCAACTGTCTCCCAGTGAAGTAGAGTTATCCAATAACAAGGCAATGCACTCACCATTATTCATTCAGTCATTGTGTTGCTGTCTTACTATCTTGCCAGAAGTATGCTGACAACACATTCAGATATCCCCTCTAAACTGCAGTATCCTCACCCCTTACTTAGTGCAAGCAATGTACTTCACACCTTCAGGACTCAAGTCCAGCTAAACAGTTTCCCTGAATGCCTTCATAAAAGTTACCTTGCTTACATTCCAACAGCATCTCAAGCCACAAAAACAACTCTTCTCCATTCACTGTAATCTAACAAACACACTAACATAAGCCTGTTGAATGTTCAAGCCCCTAGAACTCAAAATCTCCTTTATCCCTTCCATCCAACCCTTCCTGGGATGACTCCTATCCCTCTTTCCTTTCACCATATATATACACATATACCTTCTTTATGATTTCAGGTACATCTTGCTACTTTTACTTACACTTAGGTCATACTACACATACACTACACATACATGTACAAGCATATATATACACACCTCTCTGGGTTTTCTGCTATTTTCTTTCTAGTTCTTGTTCTTGTTTATTTCCTCTTATCTCCATGGGGAAGTGGAACAGAATTCTTCCTATGTAAGCCATGCGTGTTGTAAGTGGCGACTAAAAATGCCGGGGGCAAGGGGCTAGTAACCCCTTTTCTTGTATAAATTACTAAATTTAAAACGAGACAGGTTACAATCATATGAAATTTACTGTTTTTTTATTAAGCAAAATTGGATACATCAGCACTGTTCTGTTACATTATGACAGTTACACAGAGGGAACAAAGCAATGTTTGCCCTGACATATCCCATCATGCAGGAGGGGGTTCATACTTCTTCTTCTTTCAACAAACCAGCTGTAACTTTCGTTTTTCTTTTTGGGCCACCCTGCCTTGGTGGGATATGGCTGGTTTGTTGAAAAAAAAAAAAAATTCATCATCCTATTCTGCTCCATCCTCTCCAAATGCCCAAACCACCTCAATAACCTCTCCTCAGTCTGCCGAATTATAATTTTGGTAATCCCGACACCATCTTATAATCTCCAAACTCCAAATTTTCTACATAATATTCACACCATACATTTTCTCAGCCTCCAGTCTCTTTTTTGTTGCAACATTTAAAGCCCATGCCTTGTACTCACATAAGTACTGGTACTACATTGACTTTTTTTGCCTCCATAGCCAAGTCTCTGTTTTTTCACAGAAGCATCAACACACCACTTACTTTTTTCCCACCCTCATCTATCCTATGGTTCAATTTATCTTTCACAGACTTATCTGCCAACATACTTATTCCAAGATACCTGTATATGTTCATTTCTTCCATACTCTGTCCCTCCAATTCGTATTAAATCTTTCAACGCGCATACTCTTCCTTGTTCTTCTCGTTATTTTGCTTTTATGCTCACTTGTAATTTCCTCATATATTCAATCATGTATTTAAATATTGATGAAAGTATTTTCTTTTTGGGGATTTTCTTTCTTTTTTGGGTCACCCTGCCTCGGTGGGAGACGGCCGACTTGTTGAAAAAAAAAAAAAAAAAAATATTCATTCATTATATTTCTTTCAATTAGTTTTGTGTAGACATGGATTTATGGATTAGAGAGATACCAGAATATTATACGTATGTCTAAGGAAGGAGGGCTGCAGGGTATCTGGACCGTAACTCACTTTTTATTTTGTAAAACTAGGTTCATAGCCCTTCCACAGAATCTATCCTTCACATTATATGAGGGGCTAGTGCACACTGTAAAGCATTCATTAGTAAATCTAATTAACAAAATTACAGCATTCTTGTCCTGGATCACTCCATGGAGAAATGCCCAGTAATAAATATAAAGGAAAATCTAAAATTTATATATTTTGGGGGGGAAAATGGAAAACCTTTACTTTATCTGATGCTAAAATTACAACAACCTGTATGAAATCACAGCATAAAAATTATCAAGGACTTTGAGAGACTTCCTTTTTTTTTTCAACACATCAGCCATGTCCCACTGAGGCAGGGTGACCTAAAAAGAAAAAAATAAGTTTTTCTTTTTAGGTCATGTAAAGATATGTAATATTTAGTGAAGGGATTCAGGGAACTGGTTATTTTCATATAGTCGGACTTGAGTCCTGGAAATGGGAAGTACAATGCCTGCACTTTAAAGGAGGGGTTTGGGATATTGGCAGTTTGGAGGGATATGTTGTGTATCTTTATACATATATGCTTCTAAGCTGTTGTATTCTGAGCATCTCTGCAAAAACAGTGATAATGTGTGAGTGTGGTGAAAGTGTTGAATGATGATGAAAGTATTTTCTTTTTGGGTCACCCTGCCTCGGTGGGAGACGGCCGACTTGTTAAAAAAAAAAAAAGATATGTTGCGTATCTTTATATGTTTATGCTTCTAAACTGTTGTATTCTGAGCACCTCTGCAAAAACAGTGATAATGTGTGAGTGTGGTGAAAGTGTTGAATGATGATGAAAGTATTTTCTTTTTGGGGATTTTCTTTCTTTTTTGGGTCACCCTGCCTCGGTGGGAGACGGCTGACTTGTTGAAAAAAAAAAAAAAGATATGTTGCGTATCTTTATACGTATATGCTTCTAAACTGTTGTATTCTGAGCACCTCTGCAAAAACAGTGATAATGTGTGAGTGTGGTGAAAGTGTTGAATGATGATGAAAGTATTTTCTTTTTGGACATTTTCTTTCTTTTTTGGGTCACCCTGCCTCGGTGGGAGACGGCCGACTTGTTGAGAAAAAAAAAAATTCTTTTTAAATTTAGTAATTTATACAGGAGGAGTTACTGGTCCCTTGCTCCTGGCATTTCAGTTGCCTCTTACGATATGCAGGGCTTATAGTGGAAGAAATTGAGAGACGTGTTATAAGCAAAATTTGGTATATTATCTCATAATTTTATATGAGAATTTCAGTTTTACAACTGTTATATTATTAAAAGTAAAAGAATTCCAGAATATATACATAATGTATACCTGTCTTTTATAACTGATATATAAAATCCTGATATATATGTAGTTATGAAGGCAACTGATGCTGCAGTAACTCGGTGGTAGCGGAAATTCTCATAGTACTCCCATATCTGGAATGATAAAAAAGAAAAAATTAAATAAAATACAGTATTGTTATTAGTAATAAAACGTAAATACAAATGTATTTAAGAACACTAAAGGACAAAGGAAAACTACAAGCATAAACAAATAAATAAAACCATATAGAGAACAAAAGCACAAGAGTTGAAGAATATTTTTAAATAAAATTACTTGCAGTGCAAACCATATTTAGAAATCAGTCCAAGCCAAAAGGTATAAGTCACAATGGAGGCCTCCTAGCATGGAAAGGAAATATGACAGGATTAAGAACTATTCAGAAGGAAAGTAAAGGTATGTGTACAGTGAATGTAAGAGGAGGTTTGAAAGATTTACTTATTATCTTATTTGCTCATGAGACTGACAAAAAGGATCAGGAATCCTGCCAGAGTGCAAGAAATTTAACAGGTTTCCATTTCACTTTCATTTGACATGAGGGTACTACCTGCCCGGATGGCTGCTGTCTACCAACCTACTACCTGACAGGAATACTGGTCTATACTTCACAGATTCCTATCTCTCTCTCTTCTTGAATACTAATATTAGATTTACTATTTTTCCTGACATTTGGTAGTTTCTACTTTTAATTATTTATTTTGCAGAACACCCAAACACTTAGTAAGCACAGGGCTTCTACCAATATTTTGTCTGGTCCTATTACCTTTGATGTGTGCCTAAATCTTTGACAACTTATATATTCAAAGTTTTCTTTTTGTTAGTGGAGGGACGTGTTGAATTACTATAAAATATTTCATCATCTTGGTTACATCTTCAGAAATTTAGAAGTGCAGGACAATCTGAAACATATGACGAATTTATATATAAAAAAAAAAAAAACTTGTGGGTAAAACTTACTTTATCAATATGTCCATACAATAAATGTAGCATATACTGATCCAAAGGCTTAAGATCAGATACAGGAAGGCTGTGCTCACATGGATTATAATCCCCCAGTGATGCTAGAAGAAATCTCAGGACAGCACGTACTTTCTGAACACTCTCTTTGCTTTGATCTAAGATTTGTTTACCAATGGTCATGTTAGCATGGTTTGTTGAATGGCTTGCAACCCACCACCTTAAAGAAAAAATATTTATAGAAAAGATCACTCAGAAAGACAATGCAATAAGGTATTTACCTATTCCTCTAAAATATTAAGAAAGGCACATATATAGTGGACCCTTGGTTATTGGCCATTCCGGATATCAGCCAATTTGGGTTTCACCCACTTTTTTAGCCAAAATTCCATCCTGGTTATCGGCTGTTATTTCAGTTATTGGCCTTATTGGATGCGCCCACCCACCGCTCTGCTGCATTCATGAGTCATTCTGTCTGTGTCTCTGGGTGAGTGAGGAAGCCTCCATGCATTCATCCAAACATTTCGCTATAATCCATTGTTTTTTGTGGTTAATGATTGAGGGCAACTGCAAAATAAGCAACCATGGGCCAAAAGAAAGTTCCTAGTAAAGTTCCTTTGGTAAAGAAAGTGAGAATCATAATAAAATTCAAGGCAGGCAGGCATAGAGGCAAGGAGTGTAGAAGGCATGCAGGGAGTGTAGCAGGAAGGCAGGGAGTGTAGTAGGCATGCAGGGAGTGTAGCAGGAAGGCAGGGAGTGTAGTAGGCATGCAGGGAGTGTAGCAGGAAGGCAGGGAGTGTAGCAGGCATGCAGGAGTGTAGCAGGAAGGCAGTGAGTGTAGCAGGCATGCAGGGAGTGTAGCAGGAAGGCAGGGAGTGCAGTAGGCATGCAGGGAGTGTAGCAGGAAGGCAGGGAGTGTAACAGGAAGGCAGGGAGTGTAGCAGGAAGGCAGGGAGTGTAGCAGACAAGCAGGGAGTGTAGCAGGAAGGCAGGGAGTGTAGCAGGAAGACAGAGAGTGTAGTAAGAAGGCAGGGAGTGCAGCAAACATGCAGGGAGTGTAGCAGGCATGCAGCAAGTGTAGCAGGCATGCAGGGAGTGTAGCAGGAAGGCAGGGAGTGTAGAAGGCATGCAGGGAGTGTAGCAGGCATGCAGCAAATGTAGCAGGATGGCAGGGAGTGTAGCGGGCATGCAGGGAGTGTAGCAGGAAGGCAGGGAGTGTAGCAGGCATGCAGGGAGTGTAATAGGCAGGGAGGGAGTGTAGCAAGGAGGCAGGGAGGGAGTGTAGCAGGGAGGCAGGGAGTGAACAGTTTTTTTGTGTGACAGGGGTGCAGTGACTCTCAAGCTGGTCCTAGCGGCAGTAAAAGACAATAAAGGGAAGTAACTCCTCCTCACCTCCTTCCATATGCCAACAAGAGTCTTCATAAAGGTATGTAATGTTCATTTATTAGTAAAATTAATGCTTTATATTTCTTTCTCATTGTTTTGCACAGAACTGCTTAGTGCCTCAAATGATGTAGTGGAAGTTTTAGCAGTAAAGGTCGAGAACCAAAACCTAGTCATTGTGGTAGTCTACAAGCCTCCGGATGCAACATCCCAGCAATTCCAGGAACAGCTGTTAAAGATTGACCACTGTCTGGAAAATCTTCCAGCTCCTGCACCCAACATCTTGCTCCTGGGGGATTTCAACTTAAGGCACCTAAAATGGAGGAATATAGCAAATAATATTGCTGCAGTAATAACACCAGGAGGCAGCTCTGATGAAAACTCACACTCACAACGAGCTTTTAAAATCTCTGCACAAAATTCAATTTAAACCAGCAAATAATAGAGCCTACTAGACTGGAAAATACACTAGACCTCATCTTCACTAACAATGATGATCTTGATAAGAAATGTCACCATATCAAAAACAATATACTCAGATCACAACATAATTGAGGTTCAGACATGTATGCGTGGAGCCCCAGACCGACATAATGAGGCTAGTCACGAGGGAGCATTCACCAAATTCAACTTCAATAACAAAAACATAAAGTGGGACCAAGAAAACCAAGTCCTAACCGATATAAACTGGGAAGATATACTAAGCAACACAGACCCCAACTTATGCCTAGAACAGATTAACTTGGTGCACTCGATGTATGCACAAGGCTTATTCCTCTAAGAAAAAGGAGGAGTAGATGTAAAATAGAAAGAGACAGGCGCTCCCTTTACAGGCGACGGAAAAGAATAACAGAGCGGCTAAAAGAGGTCAATATATCTGAAATGCGTAGGGAGACACTGGTCAGAGAAATAGCAGCATCGAACTTAAGCTAAAGGAATCTTATAGGAGTCAGGAATCGCGGGAAGAACTAAAAGCCATAAATGAAATCGAAAGAAACCCAAAGTATTTTCTTCTCCTATGCCAAATCAAAGTCGAGAACAACGTCCAGTATTGGGCCCCCTATTAAACAAGATGGGTCCTACACATATGACAGCAAGGAAATGAGTGAGCTACTCAAGCCCAAAAATTAAACTCATTTTTAGCAAGCCGCTAACCAGACTGAGAGTCGAAGATCAAAATGAATTTTTTTATGAGAGAGCCACAAAATTTAAATTAACACAAGCCTATCCGATGTTATCCTGATGCCAAATGACTTCGAACAGGCGAAAAATTTGACATGCCCATGCACTCTGCCCCAGGGCCAGACTCATGGAACTCCGTGTTCATCAAAAAACTGCAAAAAGCCCCTATCACGAGCCTTTTCCATCCTATGGAGAGGGAGCATGGACACGGGGTCGTCCCACAGTTACTAAAAACAACAGACATAGCCCCACTCCCAAAGGGGGCAGTAAAGCAACAGCAAAGAACTACAGACCAATAGCACTAACATCCCATATCATAAAAAATCTTTGAAAAGGGGTTTTAAGAAGCAAGATCACCACCCCCTCTAGAAACCCATCGTTACACAACCCAGGGCAACATGGGTTTAGAAAAGGGGCGCTCCTGTCTGTCTCAACTATTGGGTCACTACGACAAGGTCCTAAAAAAGCACTAGAAGACAAAAAAGAAAGCAGATGTAATATATACAGACTTTGCAAAAGCCTTCGACAAGTGTGACCAATGGCGTAATAGCGCACAAAATTTGGTGCTAAAGGAATAACAGGAAAAGTCGGTCGATGGATCTATAATTTCCTCACTAAGAGAACACAGAGACTAGTCGTCAACAGAGTAAAGTCCGAGGCAGCTACGGTGAAAAGCTCTGTTCCACAAGGCACAGTACTCGCTCCCATCTTGTTTTTCATCCTCATATCCAAAATAGAAAAAGGATGTCAGCCACAGCACCGTGTCTTCCTTTGCAGATGACACCCGAATCTGCATGACAGTGTCTTCCATTGCAGACACTGCAAGGCCCCCAGGCGGACATCAACCCAAAACTTTCAGTGGGCTGCAGAAAACAATATGAAGTTCAACGATGAGAAATTTCAATTTCTCAATTATGGGTAAACACGAGGAAATTAAATCTTCATCAGAGTAAAAAAACAAATTTTTGGCCACAAAATAGAGCGAAACGCCAACGTCAAAGACCTGGGAGTGATCATGTCGAGGATCTCACCTCAAGGACCATAACATTGTATCAATCGCATCTGCTAGAAAAAATGACAGGATGGATAATGAAAAACCTTCAAAAACTAGGGATGCCAAGCCCATGATGACTCTTTCAGGTCACTTGTTCTATCTAGGCTGGAATATTGCGGGCACACTAACAGCACCTTTCAAGGCAGGTGAAATTGCTGACCAAGAAAATGTACAGAGAACCTTCAGGGCGCGCAAAAAGGGGGAAAAAAACACCTCAATTACTGGAGCGTTTGAGGTTCCTAAACCTTTTATTCCCTGGAACACAGGCAGGAGAGATACATGATTATATACACCTGGAAAATCCTAGAGGGACTAGTCCCAAAAATTTGCACACGAAAATCACTCCTACAAAGCAAAAGATTGGCAGACGATGCACCATCCCCCCTTTGAAAAGCAGGGGTGTCACTAGCACGTTAAGAGACCATACAATAAGTGTCAGGGGCCCGAGACTGTTCAACTGCCTCCCAGCATACATAAGGGGGATTACCAACAGACCCCTGGCAGTCTTCAAGCTGGCACTGGACAAGCACCTAAAGTCGGTTCCTGACCAGCCGGGCTGTGGCTCGTACGTTGGTTTGCGTGCAGCCAGCAGTAACAGCCTGGTTGATCAGGCTCTGATCCACCAGGAGGCCTGGTCACAGACCGGGCCGCGGGGGCGTTGACCCCCGGAACTCTCTCCAGGTAAACTCCAGGTATGTAAAACTATAGTTAATCTTTAAAAAATGTATTTTTTGTTAATATTTTTGGGTGTCAGGAATGGATTAATTGTATTTACATTAATTCTTATGGGAAATATTATTTCGTTTTTCAGCCATTTCGGTTTTAGGCTGACCCTCCGGAACGGATTACAGCTGGTAACCGAGGGTCCACTCAACAATATTGAGGATAATCAATAATAACTGTTAAAAGTCATCATGTATGGAGAAATTAATGATTCTTTTTTTTATTCAATAAAAGGGGCTTGAGACACATAATAAATTCCATACAAAATATATTGTACTGTACTGAACATAAGAGCCTGATATAAGGATACACTAGCAAATAATGGATGAATGAAGTTATTATACAATGCCTCTCTGTAAAATAAGAAATAGAATAAACTCTGAAACTTTATAATACTGATATATTCACCATATTAACCCGTAAACGGTCCAAACGTATATATACGTTCACTACCCCAGTGCCCCGAATATTTTGAAAAATAAAAAAAAACGTTTTTTTTTTATTGAAAAAATAGAGCACATTTTTCTAAGTGTTATAGGATAAAAAAAAAATTTTAGAGTCAGTACTTACCGAGATATGAGGCCGCAGAGTTGACACTTGGAGATCACCTGAGGAGGGAGGAGGGAGGGAGGGAGGAGGGAGGAGGGAGGAGGGAGGGGGGAGGAGGGAGGGGGGAGGAGGGAGGAGGGAGGAGGGGGGAGGAGGAGGAGGAGGAGGAGGAGGAGGAGGAGGAGGAGGAGGAGGAGGAAAATATGTAATAATAATAAAATAATAAATTCCCTTGCAGCATGAAAAACAAAGTCCACCCCTGACAGTGACATGATAAGATGAGATAACATCTGATAAGAGCTGACTTTGATGAGCATACAGGAGGGTGGGAGAGGGTGCAGCTGATAAGAAAAGATTAGAGGTGACGTTTGATGAGCATTGCCCTCCTTTGTTTTCACTGGTACACAAACATGTCTGTCTATTTGTCTGTCAGTCAAGCTTCCTGTCTATCTGTCTATCCGTCTAGTTCTCTGTCTCAGAGAGAGCCACAAGACTGCGTAGTCATCACGTTTACTCACATCTTTAAGCAGAGTATAGCACTTTGTCTGGATTTTTGGGTTATCCTAGGTAATTTATACTACATATACTTGTATTTATGTGTACCTGTGAGACATAGACAGATAGAAAGAGATACACAGAGACAGATAGACAGAGATAGACAGAGACAGAGACAGAAACAGATAGAGACAAAGACAGACAAAGACAGAGATAGACATAAATACAGACAGACAGAGATAGAACCAGGCTGCCTGCAGCCGGCCAGCCACACAGCTGGCCACCATGCAGCTGGCCAGCCAGCCAGCCAGCTAGCCAGCCAATCAGTCAGCCAATCATCCAGCCAGGCAGCCAACCAGCCAGCCTGCCAGCCAGCCAGCCTGCCAGCCAGCTAGCCTGCCAACCAGCCAGCCTGCCAGCCAGCCAGAGTTGTTTCTCTTGACTTAGGGCATAGATTATAAGAAATTCTGAAAGGGTGTTGCACAAATATTGCACATGGGTTATTATCGAGGTTTTTTGATATTTCCTCGACCACTTGTGGCCACATCCATCTCAAAGCTACTAAACTCAGGGTCAAAATCACTTTCCTCTTAAAATGGGCGTGTTAATACTACATGACATCAGTGAATCCCAGGTGTTTGCTGCGCTGTTTGCTCTAGCTGGCGCTCATTTGAACTGGTGCTCCCACAAGGTACTAAGTGGTCCCAGATTTTTTTAATACTGTGCACACTGAGTGTTAGGACCCATTCTATGCTGACAAGGCATCTCAGGCCAATCGTGCTAAATTTGCAGGCAGGAAAAATAAAACGTAAATATACGTTTGGGGCACTAGCGATAAAAACGTATATATACATTTGGACCGTTTATGGGTTAAGAGAAATATCTCCCCCTCAAAAACTAACCATGAACTGTGCTCTCATTCAGCTTACCTTAACACATCAGCTCCATACACTGGATCTTTCTGAAGATTCTTCCCTCCATCTGTGACAACAACCGGGTCAATAACATTCCCTAAAGACTTGCTCATTTTATTCCCAGCTTCATCCAGAGTGAAACCATGGACATAGAGAGATCTGAAGCAAATGTGCATACTATATACAAACTATATTTAGAAACTTGGTGGAATTTTTCTCTTACTTTAGTAAAAGTCTGCTCAAAATGCTTTGCAAAACTATGGGATTTTCTGAGTGAAGAATTAACCCTTTGACTGTTTCAGGCCCCTTTCTGAAACTGTCATTCTGTGTTGCTAAATTTTTGAAAAAAAAAAAAATTATTTTTCTTATGAAATGATAGAGAATCTTTTCCCGATGGTAATGACACCAAAAGTTCGAAATTTGGTCGAAAACTCATGGAATTACACTCCCGCGAAGTTAGCGGTCTCGGCGATATATGCGTATCAGCGATTTCGCCGACTTTGAGCCCTATTTTCAGCCAATTCCGTTGTTCCAGTTGACCAAACTCATAGCTATTTCTTTAGAACTCCATTTTACTATCAGCTGAGTACAAGAAACCTCCCATTTACTAATTTGGACTACCTAATATGGTGGTCAGAAATTGGCAATTTGGCTAATTTCATGCAAACTAAAAAAGATGCCAATTTCAAAATAGGGTCCAGAATAAACAAGGTAGACATTCTTAGCACTAAAATAACATATCCTCGTTCAAATTAGTCACATCTCTAGGCCCCTCTTATATTATTATTGCTTTCTATTTTGATTTTTTATTCATACAAAAAAATACAAAATTTACTGTTATGCAGACTACTGCATTATTGTAAAAATGGTATAAATAATATCAGTGCACTAGTGAAAGAATATTAGACTCCCCAGTTGACGTGTACTGAACGTGTGGTGTGATTTGTTTACTCCTGAACATTGGTAAAAATCGAACATTTCCGCTACTTTGAGCTCAGTTTCAAGGTCGTTTTCATCGTCAAAGTAATGAAAATCATCTCTATTTCTGTAATATGTTTTCCATTTTATCACCTAAGACCATGAAAACGCAAATACATCGATAAATACTATATGAAAATACACATCAAAGTCGGCGTTTTAATCCAAAAAAATTATCAGTTTTTTTTTTCTCATTACGCACTGTGTGCTGCAGGATTTCTTTTATGTGGTGCACACTGACCACACAGACCCATTCTCTCACATGTGGGCCTACCAGCTTTCTTCCGCTTGATTTGAAGCCGCTAGAATTATTGAGTATATATACGTCAGAAACAGTGGCGCGTAAGACGTATTTATACGGCGTAAACAGTCAAAGGGTTAACAACTGTTAGTAAAACTGTCATGCTAATGTACATTTATTATTAATATTATTATTTTTTTAACACTCCGGCCATCTCCCACCATGGTAGGGCAACACAATAAAGAAAACACTTTCACTGTCATTCATTTAATCACTCTTTCAAGAATACTCAAACAAACTCGTCCAGCAGGATTACCATTTGCATATTAATCCTGTGAAGGACCATAATCTTCGAACCTAGTAGTGCCTTGTATCTTGGAAGATTGAAGTACAGTGGAACCTTGATTTATGAGCCGTCAATTGGTCGATTTTGTGCTCTGAGTTACGAGGTAACATCCGAGTTACGAGCCAGCTCTTCCTGCTTCCCCCCTCAATCCAAAACCTGCACACCTCGCTTGTGTATCTATGATTTCACCTGTTTTTTATCCTGTTTATCTATGATTTCATCCTGTTTTTCTTCTTACCACTGTTCTTTACACTTACTTTCTTAGGACCCATGCTTAGAAAAACGAAATTTAGCCAAATAACTAAAAAATGTAAGCAAATCATGAGAGAAATACTCCCACACTGAGGTAAACAATGCACTGAGTCGGTAGAGTTCTGAAGCTCTCATTATTATTATCATTATTATTATTTTTTATTATTATTATTATTATTATTATTATATATGTTATATATATTATATATGTTATATATATTATTATTATATATGTTTGGAGGGATATGTTGTGTATCTTTATACGTATATGCTTCTAAACTGTTGTATTCTGAGCACCTCTGCAAAAGCAGTGATAATGTGTGAGTGTGGTGAAAGTGTTGAATGATGATGAAAGTATTTTCTTTTTGGGGATTTTCTTTCTTTTTTGGGTCACCCTGCCTCAGTGGGAGACAGCCGACTTGTTGAAAAAAAAAAAAAATGTATTATTCATAGAACTGATGAAAGAAAAATGGTGAGTGGTGCGTTGAAGTATATGCGGAGACAAAAAACGTCATCTAGGAGGCAAACAAGGAAATGTAGTTCCAACTCTCTTATATGGGTGTGAAGGTTGGGTTGTAAATGCTGCAGCGAGGAGGCGGTTGGAGGCAGTGGAGATGTCCTGTCTAAGGGCAACGTGTGGTGTAAATATTATGCAGAAAATTCGGAGTGTGGAAATTAGAAGGTGTGGAGTTAATAAAAATATTAGTCAGAGGGTTGAAAAAGGGTTGTAGAGGTGGTTTTGTCATTTAGAGAGAATGGATCAAAGTAGAATGACATGGAGAGCGTATAAATCTGTAGGGGAAGGAAGGCGGGATAAGGGTCGTCCTTGAAAAGGTTGGAGAGAGGGGGTAAAGGAGGTTTTGTGGGCAAGGGCCTTGGACTTCCAGCAAGCATGAGTAAGCGTGTTAGATAGGAGTGAATGGAGACAAATGGTTTTTGGGACCTGAGGAGCTGTTGGAGTGTGAACAGGGTAATATTTAGTTAAGGGATTCAGGGAAACCAGTTATTTTTATATAGCTGAACTTGAGTACTGGAAATGGGAAGTACAATGCCTGCACTTTAAAGGAGGGGTTTGGGATATTAGGAGTTTGGAGGGATATGTTGTATATCTTTATATATGCTTCTAAACTGTTGTATCTGGGCACCTCTGCAAAAACAGTGATTATCTATGAGTGAGGTGAAAGTGTTGAACGATGATGAAAGTATTTTTGGGGGGGGGAATTTCTTTCTTTTTGGGTTACCCTGCCTCGGTGAGAGATGGCCAACATGTTGAAAAAAAGAAAAAAAGAGTATTATTATTATTATTATTATTATTATTATTATTATTATTATTATTATTATTATTATTATTATTATCCTTTCTTTCTTTCAACACACCGGCTGTATCCCACCAAGGCAGGGTGGCCCAAAAAGAAAAACGATAGTTTCTCTTTTAAATTTAGTAATTTATATGGGAGAAGGGGTTACTAGCCCCTTGCTCCTGGCATTTAAGTCGCCTCTTACAACACGCATGGCTTACGGAGGAAGAATTCTGTTCCACTTCCCCATGGAGATAAGAGGAAATAAACAAGAACAAGAACTAGAAAAAAATAGAAGAATACCCAGAGGGGTGTGTATATATATGCTTGTACATGTATGTGTAGTGTGACTTAAGTGCAAGTAGAAGTAGCAAGACATACCTGAAATCTTGCATGTTTATGAGACAGACAGAAGACACCAGCAAGCTTACCATCATGTAAAACAATTACAGGTTTTCGTTGCACACTCACTTGGCAGGACGGTAATACCTCCCTGGGTGGTTACTGTCTACCAACCTACTACCTAGGTATTATTATTATTATTATTATTATTATTATTATTATTATTATTATTATTATTGTTCTTTCAACAAACCTGCCATATCTCACTGAGGTAGGGTGGCCCAAAAAGAAAAACGAAAGTTTCTCTTTTTAAATTTAGTAGTTTATACAGGAGAAGGGGTTACTATTATTATTATATAATAATAATAATAATAATAATAATAATAATAATAATAATAATAATAATAATAATAATACATAATAAAAATAATAATTAGTGTAGTAGGTTGGAATACAGCAACCACCCAGGGAGGTACTACAGTCCTGCCAAGTAACTGTAAAACTAAAGCCTGAAATTGCTTTATATGATGGTAGGATTGCTGGTGTCTTTTGTCTGTCTCATAAACATGCAAGATTACAGGCACGTCTTGCTACTTCTACTTACACTTAGGTCACACTAAACATGCATGTACATGTTTATTTATACACACTCATCTGAGTTTTCTTTGGTTTTATCTTAGTTCTTGTTCTTATTACTTTTCCTTTTATATTAATGGGAAAGTGGAATAAGAATCTTTCCTCCATGAGCCATGCGTGTCGTAAAAGTCATCTAAAATGCCGGGAACAATGGACTAGTAACCCCTTTTCCTGTAATAATTACTAAAAAGAATAAGAAGAAAATTGTCATGAATTGTGAGCAGGGTAATATTTAGTGAAGGGATTCAGGGAAACTGGTTATTTTATATAACCAGACTTGAGTCCTGGAAATGGGAAGTACAATGCCTGCACTCTAAATGAGGGGTTTGCTACATTAGCAGTTTGGAGGGATATATTGTGTATTTTTATACGGATATACTTGTAAGCTGTTGTATTCTGGGCACCTCTGCAAAAACAGTGATTATGCGTGAGTGAGGTGAAAGTGTTGAATAATGATTAAGTATTTTCTTTTTGGGGATTTTCTTTCTTTTTGGGTCACCTTGCCTCGGTGGGAGACGGCCGACTTGTTGAAAAAAAAATAATAATAATCACATAATAAAATAAATGTATAAATAAATGTATAAATTCAAGGATTATGTGGAGTAAAATAAAGATTGGATGTGAAAAGTGGGTTATAATAAGCGTGTATGCACCTGAGAAGAGAGAAGTGTAGAGGAGAGAGAGAGATTTTGGGAAATGTTGAGTGAATGCGTGGGGAGTTTTGAATCAAGTGTGAGAGTAATGGTGGTTGGGGATTTCAATGCTAAAGTGGGTAAAAATGTTATGGAGGGAGTAGTAGGTAAATTTGGGGTGCCAGGGGTAAATGTAAATGGGGAGCCTTTAATTGAGCTATGTGTAGAAAGAAATTTGGTAATAAGTAATACATATTTTATGAAAAGAGGATAAATAAATATACAAGGTATGATGTAGCACGTAATGAAAGTAGTTTATTAGATTATGTATTGGTGGATAAAAGGTTGATGGGTAGGTTCCAGGATGTACATGTTTATAGAGGGGCAACTGATATATCGGATCATTATTTAGTTGTAGCTACAGTTAGAGTAAG